ATATATTTCCTACTTTAATATTTATAAAAATATCAATATATAAACAAGAGAAACAGAAAGAAAATTGATAATATATAAGAAACAAGTAACTGATAGAAATCATATAAGAATATACAAAATATTCTGATAATAAGAACAGAATTATCTTTTTCACAAATGTATGTTATTCCAAAGTTCAATCTTACTCATCTATGAGTCATGTTTGATAATTGTTCACAAGAATGAAATATACTTTGAAACACAACTTGCAAAATATCATTTCATCGTGTTACTCCTTTACATACATGAGAAATATACTCTATATATTTTATTCATTACAAAATCTAAATGAAACCTTTTAATACATATATATTTACCTAATATATCGATAGCATACACTGGTCTCTGAGAAGCCAATGCATCTAGATTTAAACACCACAGTGCTACACCTGCTCCTAAACCATGTAGCAAAACAAGTGGTGTCTTCGGTGATTCTTCATTTAAAGAAATAGTCCATATTTTATCTGCTCTTCCTACAACAGATCCTATGTCCACATACCAACCCCGATGTGTAGTTTTCAAATCTGCATTGTAAAGACATTGTATTAGATTAATTACAAATTACAATTGATCAACTTGGAAATTTAAAATTGAACTTACAAGAAAGAATTTTCTTCTCCGCAGCACGTAACATAGCTGAAGATGAGACAGTCCAACTAAACCATCCCCAAATCCAACTAGAAAAAAATATAAACAATTATCTCAGAAATATTAGAAGGATTCATAATAATTTGCTTGATTTCTTATCTGTAATCGTACCATACATATTTTTACTTTTTTCTACACGATAATAGATTTATTCATTCATTCTAATTACACATATGTTTACATTAAATCACAATCAATTGAATTGCCCAATACACATTAAATTAAATTATATAATACACACCAACAATCTATTCCATAATGTTAAATGCACCGATAATAATACAGTTCTATTTTATTGTAATTAGGTGCAACGAGTTCAATGTCGCCTAATCAAAAATATTATTTTAGATCACACAACAAAGTTGACAAACAAACTAAAAAAACAAGTATATGATTGAATGATGAAATTTACAAAACACTGGTGCAAAGACTTAAATATCAATTAACTATCGAATAACCACTCAACATTAAACTTTAACACACATTAAATATCAAACTTACTGAACTTCAGATTTCTTTGGTTAAGAATCTTTATGCTAAAATTATTTTAACACGTGACCTTGAAATGCCGTCCAACATGATATAGATAATTCATTCGCTTTACTCATTATTGTCAATGTCATATATCTATACATATACTCGTGTAAAATTGTGTATAAACGTTATTCGGGCCACACACTTTTACCACACAATAATACGGACGAGTAACTTATTTATATGCTAAATTTGTTACAACACGGAAAATTGTGGAGTCAGCGTGGTGTAATACAATGAAGACAGATGAGTTGTCAGTATCACGTAGAAGATCGTGGAGACGAAGGAAATAAAAGAAGAAAAAAATGTACGTGCGCCGATGACAGTTCTCGGTTGATTTAATATTAAAAGTACCTCTTCGATGCGACAATTTCATAATCTGCCATTAGCTTCAATGATACGGCGCCTGTTCTCTCACGATGGCTTTTCAATTGACAATGCGGAAAAACAGCGTGTTCATGTACATAGGTGATTCTATTATCTAGTCAAACTGTCGATTCGAGTACGCCGTCTGTTGAAAAATGGCAGAGAGGGTGGGAGAATCAGCTGATGTATATATGAGCTGGAGAGTACTTGCACATTCGACTTCGGCTAAATATGTGTTTCTTCGATCACACATTGACTCTTATGTTCCGTAATACGTATAGATAACGTATCCCTCTATCGATATCGTTATTTCACACCGTGACAATCGAATGTACGCGATAATAAATTCATCGATAACCATCTAACCTAATATTCTCCCGCTAATTCGTGACATTAATAACATTGTATTTTCCAGAACACAGATATCGTTTATTATTATCCTCTTCGTGTACTGGTAGCCTTCGATTTCACTTCTATGCGAACTTGTACTCGTCAATAAATAAATAGCGTATAAACTTCGTAAACCTTCCTTAACTTCAATGGAATAAAATCAGGGAATACATTGGTTACTATCGAAAAATATTTGGAATTAAACATTGTTGCATATAAGTTAAAAGTGAACATTATTTATATATAATAATCAGTAGTCTTATTCGTTAGAATTTAATTTTCTGCTGAAAGACTCGTTTAGAAAACGAATATTTGTGAAATCACGTTGCATTTCGCAGAACAATGAAATAAATTCGAATGAATGTGTCTTATCAAATCTTCGTGGCGTGCGACGAAGTACACGTAAGTATACTACAATGAAGAAAAGAGTAGCAGACAGGGTATTTTGTAATGACCAGAGAGTGTCTGTATACAGGCTCTGGGTGCTTTTGGCTCTCCCGACAATATGAGCTATTCATCCCAATCAGCACATCCTCATTGCACTCATGCATGATTCTCATTACTCGGTCCAATTGTTACGGGAATTCAAAGTTACACGATAGCCAGCGAGTTGTGCTTCCATTAGACGTATCTTCGATGCCGTTTGTTCAACGCGACGTATATTTGAGTCAATTGTTGATGAGTCGCAACGTTGGCGCGAGGGTGACGCGAGGAAACATATGGAAGGTTCGTTCGATTACGGTGTGTCCAGAGAGAAAAAAAAAAGGAAAATGAAAACACACGCTTCCTTCCATTCGAAAGAAAGTAGCTGTTGCACTATTTTTATTTCGTAGACGAAGTGTATAGGAAGTGCAACGGGAGGGCAGTGTGCGTTTACATTTTGAAAGGCGTGTTCGAAGAAAGGCAGGATGTAGACTGTGCGCCTGTGTGTACGGTATACAATATGACGCATACCATGCACGGCGTAAGGATACACGTGCGGCTCGGGCGTCGTCTGCTGGCACTACTTTCTTATCCACCACTCAGAGAAGAGAGCGAACTGGCAATTTCAGAATCGAGATCGCATGTCATATCGTTTATTTCAATATTGGAATAAAATTTAAAGGAAGACTAGTATTTTTCGAATAAGATAAATCTCGGTATCGTTGTAGAACAATGTTAACGAGTCGGATATTTTTCTTTTAATAAAGGTAAAATTATATAACAAATTTTGCGATATTTTTTTTATCCGACGTTTGCAGTATTTTTATTTTTCCAATGAAAATCAATTTTCCTTGTTTCGATGAATTTTTCGCATTCTGCGACGAGTCGCCATCGTTGTCTAAACGCAATCGATAATGCTCGAGCAACAATTCGAGCTTTGTACCGAGGTATCGTTAGTGCACGGTTATGTGTTTCACTCATTCTCCATTGTTCTTCGACCACGTAATTAGGTATCTTCTGGTGGAGAAGTAAATCGCGTTTTTCGATGCATCCGCAATAGTGATTCATAATACAAAGGCGTGTCCTTCGGATTCCACGGTTCGCCGGGTCGAATTCATTTTCACACACGTTTTCCTTACATTTCGATTCTATCGATCTGATGCGTAATACAAATTCGTGGAAAACAAAGAAAATTATTATCGACACCTACCGTGCGAGTTTAGCAATATTTCATTCTTATTTGCACGAGTCCATATTTTACAGGAAATATTTCACCTATGTATGCAAGGAACATTACTCATGCTCATTATCGGTTGCAAGTGAAAAAACGTATATTACAAGGAAGATAAGAGGTTAGGTTTTCCAAAGTTAATAACATTTCAAGTAAGATCAATATATTACGGTTGCAACGATACAGACCGTAACGTAACGACTAGAGAAAAGTAAAAATTGTTCTAAAATTGTATATTTTATTATCCTCCTAGTTAACAACACGATCCCATAGAAATGTAACTTATGGTTTTTAACAGCATCATCGATCCTCTCGCACGAGAGTGAACATAGTTGCAGGCTTAACGTCCAATCGTGCCTCTGGTACATAAGAAATAAGATAAAATATAAATAATAAAGAAATAAGTCATGAAGATCCGACGCATTCGGAAATTTACAAAAATTGCCTAAAAGTAACGATCCAGCGACACCGACTCTCGCGGTGCGAATCGACTGTCACCGGCGGTCGTTTCTCGCGCTGCGACTAACCGCTGCGTCCACTAACAGACAACGTTGAAAAGATGCGTGACGAATATGCACCCGGTCGATCGATCGTTGAAAATCGTAGTCGAAGATGCGTGGGTTAATACAGATTTAATGGGAATGATGGGAGGGGCAGAGGAGAGAGCGAGGATGGGCGGGCAGGCGGGAAGGGGAGGGGACTACTTTTTAATCGCGAAGAGCAATGTTCCGCGACTCGCGGCACCTGTCGTACTCTGCGCGATGTAGTTTAGCGCGACGGCGTAGCGGTGGGACGCGAACGATCGTTCCGATTGGCCGGCCGAAAGGGGCGCGCGGTTGCTAAGCAACGGCAACACCGCGCGCGTCACCGGCCGGCGTAGCCGGCACCAAAGCGTTCTCGGCACTCTGTAGTGGAGAATTGCGCAGAACGACGTTGGCTCTCGTCGGGTGCGGACGTGCTACGGTTTTCAAACGTGATATAGAGTAGACTGGTCGAGGCTTTCCTTTTGTCCTCCTCGTATCCTTTGAATCGTCGATCAACAGATAGAAACGTATCATCTCCTTTAGCGTTCGTTTCGCTAAGAAAGTCATCTAGAGGCTAAAAAAGAAAGCGAGAGGAAGAGAGAGAAAGAGAGAAAGAGGGGATAAAGAGCGGCGGGAGCAAAGTTTCAAAAGAAGTCAAGAAAAATGGCAGAAGAAAAGAACGAGACCAGCCCGAGCGCCGAGGGTGAAAAGCCACCACAGGAAGCGCCGCCGGCCGAGAAGCAAGAAAAGGAGGAGTCGAAAGAGAGCAAAGAGGAGTCGAAGAAAGTAGAAGAGAATGGCGACGGTGAGAAACCGAAGGAGAACGGCGAGGAGAAACCCACGCCAGAGCCGAAGGACATGCGGGCTATAGTACTGAACGGTTTCGGCGGATTGAAAAGTGTCAAGGCGCTCAGGAAGCCTATGCCCACCCCCGCCGAGGGAGAAGTCCTGATCCGTGTCAAGGCATGGTGAGTACGCCAATATTTTTTCTCCCATTCGTTGTCAATGATATCCGCCACCGGGGCGATTTCTCGTTGCGGGTTCGATTATTCGAATCGATTTTAACCGCCGATCGGCGTCAAACGAATGACAACCGGGTCTACGGACCCTTTTGGCAACCTTGGGGACCGTAGAAACTAATTGACGAGTCCTGTCGCCTTACCGGTGGAACCCAAAGCGGAGGAAGTTAATTAAGATTGACGCCGATGTTAACGGACCCGAGCGCCGTTTTGATAGCGTCCCTTATCCTGTCGTACAATTAACCGGTTAACTGCATTTGACGAGTATACGCGTCATTCCGAAACTCGAAATGATAGTCACTTTTCAGTGATTTATTTATTTTTTATAAATGTATATCAAGTATTCCTTCATTTTTATTTAGTTTTTTTTTTAATTGAAATATATTATAGGCGCGTTTACCCTACGTTTGACGTGTATACTCGTCCCTTAATTTTATGCACCCTACAGGGGAGAGTTTTAAAAGAAAATTTAATAGTTAATGGGTTCAGTCAATATCGAGCTTCAGGACACTGTTTCGTACGATTTTCTGCGTATGAATTATCGAGGGTGTCGATAATCGACTCGTGCGGTTAAACCAATACGATTTCGAATCGGCACATACGTATGCGTGCACGTACAGTATTATACGTTGGTCGGACGTAACCCGATCTGGTTCGATTATCCGTTACTTGTTTCGACGAAGGTGAATTGCCGCGAGGAAAATAAATAGAAAATAGCCGCGTTCGGGGTTTCGACCCAAGCAAACAGACCGTTACAAGCTACGCTTGCATCTTTGAAATTTAAGGCGTGGTATCTGTTCCGGGACGCCTTTAATTAGAATTTTATCCTTACGTCGCGGAACGGATGAGTAACTTTATAACGGATGCCCGAGTACTTTAATAAAAGCATTTAAATAATTCCACGCGCATGACGTTTGAAAATCAGTACGCGTCCGACATTTTTCGCCATCTATGCTTGTTGAGCGCCGGATCAATTCTCGAATGATCAACAGTTTTTCATAAAAATCTATTTTTATTCAAGTCTTTTCTTTATAGTGGGAAATATTTCTTGCTATATTTTCAAGTACTTTTTTTTCAGTACTTTTCGTTTCATAATGGGAAATATCTTTTGCTATATTTTCAAATTAATTTTTTTCATTACTTTTTTTTACCTACATAGTTAAAAAACTTGAGAATATATATTATTAATAATATATATTAATATATTCCCAAGTTTTTTTATAATGGGAAATATTTTTTGCTATATTTTCAAGTAAGTGTTTTTCATTACTTTTTTTCACGTACATGGTCGTAGTTCAAAGGTAATGTTCGCTGCGAGCGTCTTTCGAATTGGAAACTGACACTTTGAACGCTATAGCGAGAAGTTATTCCGCGTTGGTCGACGAGGAAAGTGTTATTAAGTATTTGTCAGGACGCGACGCGGTCTGTGCGCTAAATAGGCGGCTACATTTATAGAATACTTATCCATGCGTTTAATGTCCGTGCATGCGTTGGCAGATACGCAAAACGAAGTTTGATAAGCCGTTTAACTCCGTCCACCGCACTACGCTTATTCTTGAGTGTCCGTGCGTGTATATATTTTTTTCATTTTTCTCGGCCTCTTTGAACCTGAATTTCGATCGACGTATTATATGTACATATAGGAACAAATTGAACGAGCCTAGAATATTATATTATATTTCTTGATAAAACGATATAATTGAAAATTCCAGAATTATTTTATAGAACAAATTGAACGAGCTTAGAATATTATATTTCTTGATAAAACGATATAATTGAAAATTCCAGAATTATTTTATAGAACAAATTGAACGAGCTTAGAATATTATATTTCTAGATATAATGATATAATTGAAAAGTCTAGAATAATTTTATAGAACAAATTGAACGAGCTTAGAATATTATTATATTTCTGGATAAAATGATGTAATTTAAAATTCTAGAATAATTTTGTAGAAATATATAATATATCCGAATTTCGTTACACGTATATTGGATTACGTTGGAAGTTCCTGAGCTACGGTAAACCGCATCTGATGGCTCTACGTGCTGTCCATTAATTTAGACGTGGGAAAAAGGATTATTAGGTATACTGGTACGCCGTTAATGCATGTACCTTCAGCGATATTAGGGTACGCTTTATTTCATACATTACGCTCACCCACTATGCCATGCACGTAATTTATGACGGCGGTGCTTATTAGCATAATTTGAATTTGAACCGTTGAACTAGAATTCTAGAACAGCCTCAACAATTTCATTTCTACTTCCTAATCGGATCGAAGTCAAGTTTTTATTAATGTTAATCATTCCTACAACATTGACAGTATATTTGCATCCATCTACTATCATAATTTCTATACTTATCAGAATCTTGAATAATTCAATTTCAAACATCTCTTTCGTCACATTTTTCCACTTTTCTTTTTAGTTAATAGATATTCCAATTAATACACTTTCTACAGTGCGAAAGTTGAAGACTTCATTGCAAACGCAGCTTAACGATAACCAACTTGTTTTCCACACCTTCTAATCTTCGCGATTGGACATTCTACGTTCTATTCATAACCATCGAGGGAAAAATGAAGTTGTTTTTATCAGACCATACATGTCTAACAAATTTCACTACCATTCGTTAAGAAACAAATTTCCCATTCATTGTAAATGGAAGTTTATGCCGAAGATAAAAACATTAAGAACAGCAAAACAATTGTTCACTCCTATCTATGTAATAAATAACATGGACTTTCATTAAATTGTTTTAAAAATCCTCACCACGTTGCCATCGTTATACAGAAAGGGTTAACTGTACACCATAGACACTCATTCGCCATTTGACTACACTAGAATGATGAACATTAAAATTCAATATTCATTTTTGTAGGTATCAACACATGAACCGAAACAAATTACCTGCAACCCTTAATTTATGCAAGACTTTCCTTTATCTTACTTGCTAGTGTTATCAATATTTCAACAGAAGATAAATATTTCCAATGAAAAATATTGTCGAGTACAAAGTCCATTCTTAAAAAAGATTTTAGAAGTATTGAAAAATGAGAAGATTATTTAGAATTGTAGCCGTTGTAACAATTAACTTGATTTGAACACTAGAACTACGTACCAGTCAAAATGACTGATTTCAACGTTTTTATTCCTTAATTATTGATATTTTAAAAGCATTGAATATTCGAATCTTGAAAGTAGTTTCACTTGAATACTATAATGAATGTCTAAAGGAATCGATAATAATCAATTATTACAATTTTTGTAGGGATTACATATTAATCGTATTAAAATAGTTCCAGTGTTAAGTGAACTCAAGCCACTTTCAAAATAAACGGTTCATATTCGCGGAGCCAATAATGAAGCTGCTGCCGCGCAGGACTCTGTCCGACAGTTCGTTACGAGACGCAAAAAACTTCCTTCGACACATGTTCCGTGAATCCTTCGTCTCTCCACGTCCCCGCCGACTGACAGTCTCGTAAATTGGACGCTTCGAATAATTTTTCGAGAATTCAGTCAATCATCATTGTACAATGAAATTGAGTACTCGCCCTGGGATGAGTATTATTCCACTTCCGTTCAACGGTTCACTAGTCAATTTTTAGTGAACCGCTGGTACCGTACTCCACGAGCAGCATTAACCTCTGCCCTCGAGAAACTAGTCGCCATTTTTCAACAGAGTAAAACAGTAGAATTCAATACTAAACTTGCAAGGTACCAACACGTGGAACATAAAGATATTTTGTTTAGAAAATTTATTGCAAATAATACCGAAATCACCAAATTTCTCAAACTCAATTAACCCACTTCCTTCACCCTTTGAACTCCGTAGGCTCCATCGCTTTTATATTATAAAATGTATGAATATTTCAAAAGTACATTATAAAATATTATTACTTTAAAACCTGAATATTAACCCTTTGAACTCTGTATACTCCAATATTGCACCAGTTCTAATACGAAATTTTTTAATGAATTTTAAGAAAACTTTGAGATTACCAGATCTTCTAAATATTCTAAATGTTCTAACATTAATTTTCAGGACTATCAAAATTGGTAGTATCTGACATATCAAAACTATGTAATGGGTTAATAAACGGTTCATTTACAATACAAACACCACCGAGTACAAAGGGTTAACCCAACGCGAGTACAGTTGAAACATCCGAATCCTCATTCCATAAATCCATAGACACGAAAATTTCCCTACAAATCAAATCGAACGGCCGCCGAGTGACAAAGGAGCTGCGAATAAAAGACTCCTAGCCTCTTTTATCTCCTGCGAGCTTTCCGCCCAGTCGCGGTACAAAACTTCGCCATAGAAAATCCTTCCTTTTGTCCGCGGTCACGGGTAGAGGTCAGGATTCTTCGTAGCGAACTCAAAAAGGGGGCGTACGGTTCTAGGTATACATTTTTTTTTCGTAGAACCGGCGCGCTCGCGTCTAGCCCGAGAGAATTCGTTTCTTCGCGTATATACATATATATATATATTTCCAACGTTTCTTTTTTTCTCTGTTACCGAAGTTGACCGAACCGCGTAAGCAAGACAGCGAAAGAAGGGTAGTAACAAGAAAGACGGAACGGTACTTCTCTCTGCGCGCGCGTTAGGAGAGGAGAGGGGAGGGGAGGCGAGCCGTCGAATTCGCCAAAGGCGTGCGGACCTTTTCACGCGTGAGTCACGTTTCATAAAAGCGATTGGGATTGATGAGAAAATAGCCCCCATAGAAAGATATCACGCTGCCAATGCTGGCTCGAATGAATTTGTCTGCACGACTACAGAGACGTTCGTTACGCTGGCACCCCTGCCTCTATACACGAGAGACGCGCCCAGAAGTGACCCCCTCCTCGCCCCTCGGCTCGCTCCTCCGGCCAACCCCACGCTCCCCTGACCGTGGACATTAGAGCGAGAACGCGCGGTACACTCCGGCTCAATTGTCGTTTGA